AGCCTTGAGCTAAAGAGCTGAGGGACAGCGCCCAGGCCCAGAGTTCAGGCCCCACAACCAGACCCCCCCCCAAAAAACAAGAGTCTCACGGACTTTCTTGCCCCAGCTGGCTTTGAACCGTGATCCTCAAATCTTAGCCTCCTGAATAGCTAGGATTACAGGTGTGAGTCACTGGCATCTGGCCATTTTTGGTGCTTCAATGGAAAAAATGCATGGGATTTTGGTGGTTGCTTCCATCTTATTTAGCAGGAGCAGGCAGACAAATGATTCTGAAGGACCCCATTGAGGGTTTAATTGCCCAATTAGCTTACTATTCCTTTATCCTGTTCTCTTCCTTAGGCCCACATGGGTGTTAAAAACAGGGCTGCATGCACTGTGTGTGGCTAGCACAGTGCTGATCTGCCAAAGATTTTGCTGAATCATTTCATTCAATGCTGTGTTTTTTGTTTTGGGTTGTTTTTTTTTTTTCTTTAGCTGTTGTTGCCATCTGGTGGTGACAACAGACTACTCAGACTTCAGGATCCCTGAAGTTAGGCCTCAGAGAACCCCCAAACCTTTCTGGAAACTCCTTTAAGACATTTCTGGAAGTGTCTGACTTGGAAAAGGGCCCCGATATAGACTCTGTTTGATTTCAGTAGAATGGGGAACCCAGCCCCCCTCCACATAATATCTTTTGTCTCTAGCAATGTAAAATTAGAGCATAGCAACAACTTACATGGAACTCATTCCCATACTGTATGTAAAGTGTCATTTCAGGTGGATCTGTAGGAAAGAGCCCTGTTAGGGCGGTAATCAACTCGCGGCTGTCACCGCGGGATGTCTCAGGAGGATGTCGGGTAAAGCTCACAGCATCCGCAGACAAACCTCGCTGGATGGACTTCTGTATTTGCAGCTCAGAGTTGTGAGGCCATGTTTTCACTTACCTTCTGGAGGTGGAGCTGGGGCTGCAACTTCATTTTCTAGACAGGAAAAGGGAAATGGAAGTATTAGTCTTCTTTCTCACAGAGAAGGATTACTTTGCACAACCTCTGGCTGGTCCATTCCAGCTGCCATTTTGCCCCTGTATATTGACAAAGGACCATGCTGTCTTGATATATCTTGATGGTTATGATTATGAGGATCATGATAATCAAGACACACACACAGAACACACACACACACACACAACCTTCTGATGGGTGATGTTTAGTGAGGACTGGAATGGTACTACATGGTGGTAGATTGGAATGATGGAAAAAGCAAAGGTGAGATGAAGAATCCAGGTAGCCTCACCATTGTTACCCCTCCATGTAGCTGCCAACAGGGGCAACTAAGCCTAATGTGTCATCTCTAGAAACATGGCCACAATCTCTGCCCTATACCTATTGGGTCCCTCTGAGTAGGAAATGCGGCAGAGTGAATGGCAAGCACATCTCCAAATGTGTAACATGGAGTGGTTACAGACATTAAGCTCCCCTTTCCTCAGAGGGCTAGGGCACCTACGTACCACAGCCAATGTCCTGTCCTCATGAGAGACACGTCGGAAAGATGATAAGACCATCTTTGCCTCTGTAGCACTGTATTTTATTGCAAAAGAAGCTGCTGTTCCCTGGGAGACAGAATTAACCGCTCAGTGTGGTTTCTTGAAGTGCATATACCTAGAGATGATTTCTACCTACACCTATCACAAAATTTCAAAGTTCTATGATCCAGGATTATGGAACCATTCCCTCTACAAAGTCTGTAGAGAGAAAATTTCTGTTAAAGAATATATTCATTTTCAAGGAATGCAAGTTATAGTCATAACCAAAGAGCATCAGCTTCTCCCTGTTGAGTCCCTGCAGGGACTGAGAACCAGAAGTTCATGATATGCAAATGAACCGGATACCTCATCTCCAGAGCAGGAAGTAGGGGTTAATGAAGGTGACTGCTTTTAAGCGGTCTCTCCCACACAACTATTAAATTAAATATGAAGACAGGAAAAGCAGGCACATTATGAGATTCTAGAAGCCTTATCTTTGTCTATGTCTGGCACTTTCCATTCATTTTTTTAATATATTTTTTTCTTTCTTTCTTTTTTTTTTTTTGTTGGTCATGGGGCTTGAACTCTATCTAACCCTGAGCACTGTCCATCAGCTCTTCAGCTCAAGGCAAGTGCTCTACCACTTGAGCCACAGCACCACTTTCGACTTTTTCTGCTTATGTAGTGTACTCTATCACTGAGCCACCTTCCCAGCCCCTCTCTGATTCTTATATTGTCACCACATTTGGGACCAGGCATAGAACCAGTTTGGATATTTTCCACAGGAAACATTGTTAAGATACCAACACACCATCACATAGGATGCTAGAAGCAAGCAAGTAAAAGAGAGAGAGAGAGACAGACAGACAGACAGACAGAGACACAGAAGGAGACAGAGACAGAAAGAAGAAAGAGAGAAAGAAAAAGAGAGAGAGAGGGAAAGAGAGATAAAGGAAAAAAGACAAAGATACACTCTCACTTGCTTAACTACATTATTCTCTACAAAGGCCCTTTGTAACTTTTTGGCTTCTGAGACTGAAATCCAACGCCCTCTATTAATGTTTGCTCTTCCCTCTAGAACAAAAGTTGGCCCTAGGACAGGACCTTGTGCCCAGATCCGTGCCTAGCACACAGCCAACTTTCAGTAAATACTTGCTGAATAAGTAAATGCTAAGATAAAAAGCAAACCTTTGTCCATAGTGAGGATATAGAAAATGTCTCTATTTAGCATCATATTAATTTGCACCTGTGATTATTCTAGAGGAATTGTAAGCCACAGCAGCATTATATTTTTTATAAAGGCATTACCTCCCAGCATGATCACTCTTAAAAAGACTTGCTTATTTAACTTCTTGTATTACTGGTTGGTGAGGCACATTTCTTTATTGCCATCTCTATTGCTTTGATTCCAAGATATTCAGCCTAGGACCTAGGACAAAGTGCTTAGGATTAAGGGAACTGGATAGCTGGATGGACAAGTCCAGAGGCAAACAAGCACGCAAACCAGAAATAATAAAACCCTTTCCTGGCAAATCAGCTGTTTCACAAGCAGAGACCCTTAATACATTGGAAGATGTTGGTAGTGTGAACCACAAACATTTCCTACCAGATTGATATTGAAACCAAGCAACTTTCCATGGCGACTACATACATATATATAAATACACATGTTTACATTTCATATACTTACATGTATGTATATAAATATACATGTATATATAGTTTTTCAGAACATTTTCATCTGTCCCAGGATGATTTAGTCAATCTAAAAAATATGTTAAGACTGCATTACTATGAAAATTATTTAACAGTGACAGCCTTGGAGCTATTTGTTGAATACACTTCAATTAGATAGAAGACTAAAGTGCATGCTAATAGTAAAAGGCCCCCAGGATGACTGACTAAGGAGCTAATATCTAGGTGTGACCTTGCTCAGTAGCTGTCAGCAATTTGGTCCCACAGTAGAGGCCATCCATCTGTTTTGTGCTACTGCCTCCTTCTGAATGCTCAGAGCGACCCTAGGATGTTCATTCTGTCCAACAAAACATGTTGAGTGGAAATACAGATCTGCCCAGATTCCCATCATTGGTTCCGTCAGCAGGTAAGCCAGCGTGGAAATTCAATGGTTAGTTCATTCTACACGTGCTTATTGGGCTATTGGCTCATGCAGCCCTCTGCCAGGTCTAGAAGTAATGAAATGAAGGACCCAAAGAGGTGTTAAGACATGGTGCCTGACCATCAAAAAACAGACAGCCTGTTAGGGAAAGGAGTCAACCATTAATACGTGACTAAGTGGAGACAAGAGTAAATGACAGAGGCAACAGGTCCAAGAGAAGTCAGAAGGAAGACAGAAAGGTGGAAATAAGCCAGGGTGATCAGGGGTAAGCTGTACAAATGAATGAAACCTGAGTTGCAGAGTTTAAAAACAGAAGCTAGATGGATGGAGAGGAGGAGAGAGAGCAGGGGAGGACATTCTAGTTAATACTGGAGAGAAGTGAAGTTTTACCCATTAATCCCATTTACCTCATGAGGGGTTTCTTTCTCAGCTGAAGCAGCAAAAAAAATTATTCTACTTTTTGCTTAAGTATATTTTTGAAATGTCCCTGTCCTTTATGAAAGTACAAAGTGCACAGTATTTGGAGATATGTGTGTGTGTGTGTGTGTGTGTTGCTTATTTAGGGATTTCACTTTCTGTTCTAAGTCCATTTGCTTTCCAGTCAACTAGGGCAAATGCACAGCTACAGCAGTTGATGAACCTGAGCATGTGACTACATGTGGCCCAGTCTGCCTTAACTTCTGAAAATGTAAAAAAAAAAAAAAAAGAGGAGAGGGGGAGAAGCAACAAATTTTAGAATGCCCTAGTTATTTCGTTTTTATATTTCATCATATTATATTCTCTGGGAAGAAACGAGTTTCTGATTATTGGTTACTTTTAACTTACAGAGAACCCATTTAAACAAGCAACTATAGTATCATATGGTGCCTGTCTAACTAGGGGCCAGACACAGGCGTTGGTAGCTTTCCTTCTGGGATGACATCAGTGGCTCTCTTGGTTGAACTTCACAGCCTGGTCCAAGCACCTTTCCAAATTTGGAAGCAGAGGTGCATCCCATCAGCCTTGGAGAGAATAGTGTTACAGTTATGTCTCTTTCAGCCAGGATGTCCAAACATGTTTGAACCTATCTCATGGAAAGATTTCTAGGAGTTTGCACTGTCTGCATTCCATAAGAAAATGACATTCACGTGGAAGAGTGTCCACGTGACTCCCCATCGAAGCCACGGAAGGTCAAGGACAAAGAGAATGCTAACATTATGTGTTTCAGTTATGAGAGTGTAAGTTCAAGTTAGCTGAAGAAAACTGATCCAAGGTACTGGAAAAGAGAGAGAGAAAAAACAATGTTTTGTTAATGCATAGGAGACAAGAATAGCACTGGAATTAGGAAATGAAACATGGCATACCAAGAACAAAGAGATACTTAACAGCCCTTCAGCAGGGTTGAGGCAGGGGTCGGGGGAGAAACTTCTTGTGGTCAGGAAATAATAATTTTAAAGTTTAAAGGACCTTATTCGTGATACCATTAAAAGGTTGACATGTGAAACTGTTGATACAAAAATACAAAGCATAATTGTCAAATCTACTTCTGTGAAACCTTTCCTCTCCTACAAGAGTAATGCCCTTTAGCTTGAAACAGATAGAGAGTAATGGCAAAATGACTTCATCTGTAGTGAAGGAAAGGAATCAGCATTGCTCAGAATCATCAAAGTATACACTAACATGAATGAATTCTGTAAAACTAAACTGTCTCTGAAAAATGTAAAAAAAAAAAGCAATAGTATAAGAGTGAGTTTCCAAACAATTAAAAACAACACGATGTTTGCTTCAGGTAGTGTTATCCAGCCCTGCAAATCAATCTCAAAGATGTACAATCCATAGAAAGTAAGAAGCCAGCTTTCAAAGCTACCAATGAACACCTAGAACAATTCACATAATAGCGTGAAGATACTGATTAAAGAACACATATACACCAACAATCTAGGTAAATTTCCCAACAGATATAATCTTAGGATCAATCGCTTCTTTTCTGCTGCTTGCATGAGAGAATGTAAAAGCCATCAGTTAACTGGCTGGCATCACTTCTTCACGGTGCATGATATTTTTATCCTTTGTTGTTTTTCTGTTCAAAATGTGTGCAATGCAAACTGGGCAAAGAACTGTTGGCCATAATGCTGATTGACTCATGCAGATAAGATGCAAAAGAAGTTAATGAAAGAGGGAGATAATGCAGAGAAATTTCATGGGGCCATCCGATTAGTCTTCCTGCTTCTGATTCCGTTGCATTCAGCCTCACTCTCCCTCCAACTCACCTTTTGCTGGTCCAGTTCCGGCTTCCTTCTCTTTATTTGGTTCTGTGTGGAAAGCACAAACACATTTTTAAAACATGCCTGAAAGGCTTTCATTATGGAATGAGCAACAGAATGGAGGGGAGGGAGGAAATAAATGACATCATTAACGATGCTACATTCTCATTACACTGTACATGAATTAAGAATTTTGGAAGTACAATGTAGAGTTATGCTGAACTTCAATAAAAATAAATCAAATTGTTTAAAAATTATACACAAGAATATGTTGTTAATATAGACACAAGAATATTTTGTTAGGGCTGGGAAGGTAGCTCAGTGGTAGAGCGCTTGCCTTGCATGCCTGAGGCCTTGGGTTCAATTCCTCAGCACCACATAAGCAAAAAGA